TAAAATTGCCACCGACGTATTCCCCTTTAAACGGGGGCACACGACGATGTTGTCCGCATCTACGGTTTAGGATTTTGCTTTTCCAGAGAACATCAAGTCCGTGCAAGCATTCCAGGATGCACTTCCATGCAGTTTTATTTCCAGGTTTGCCAGCTGTCACGGAACGGAGACAATTTTTGCTAGGGAAACTGTCGATAGAGCGCTACGTCGCGAAGCATGAGCCATTGGTAAACCGATTTCCAGTATACCCGTGTGTGTACGTAATTGATTCATTGCAGGTAATTGCTCCGGAAAGAGGCTATCTGTGACCAGCTTGGCAGCGGAGAGGGAAGGAAAGAGTTGAAGTCGTTCAGATGGTGGAGTGCCTTTGCATGAAAGACCCCCTCTGGGCGTTGGGGCTATGAATGCCAGACCAGCCCAGAAGGGGGATGGAAGCAGTAGCCAGCAGCAGCTTGCGAATTCAGCAACCGGAAGGTCGGACGAATGCATGGAGCGACGTATCGCCTGTTTGTGCAATAAACAAACTCGCATAATTCGAGATTGCAGACTCATTCCCAAATGCACGGGAAAAGTCAGTTAAGGAAGAGAAGTTGATCCAAGTAGCGCTAGCAACCCATGTCCATTAACACAAGCTTATATAAACATGTGGACCTCCGGTGCAGCTGTCATCTCTTTTGGCCCCAACAGTGCTCCGCAATTCGCATGGGAGCTCGGCCCTTGCCGTTCATTTGGTCGTTTGGCGGTACTGCTCGAAGCCTAACTTCTCACGTCCCTCAGAAGCCAGTGTGAACCTCAGAGCCGCCAAGCTTGCAGTTGAAGCCCTAATTGTGATGAATATTCGCTAGATCGATGGTAAATATACAATGTAGGCGGCAGCATATAGCTCTCCCCAGCGGATGGAGAGCTTCGCCGGGTGTTCGCCGTCCTGCATACCTCGCAGAGCCTTCATCCACGATGCCATGCCGCCTTCGTTAACAATAAATGCCGAATGTCTTTCGTCTCAGTTCAGTTCCTGACGTTCTTATGCATTCTTCGTAGATTACCGAGCTGATGCGAGCTGCTGAATGTGTGCAGCTGGGACGTTACGGAGATAGCTGCCACCTAGTATTTTCATCGCCGGAGCAAAGCACGGTGATTCGGTCCAGACCGAGGAAGCTGGAGAACAACCCGAAAGAGTGCACAGTTTTGCTGTAAATGCGTTCCGAAAAAGTGCCAAGCCTTTCTGACGAATATTGCTGGCTGTAGAATCGGAAGCGTTGCCTCAGCGTGCGCCTGTGGCGTTCAGCTTCGCAGTTTGCCAACAGGTGTTAGTAAACTTCTTTTTCCTCTCAGCAGTGATGCTTTTCGGAAGGCTTTAGAGCTTCCACACATAAAATAATTTGGCCAACTTGCGCTCCCATAAACGAATTATGCTCCCATAAATGAATTAAGAAAGGTGGTGAAATTGGCATATTTCTTGAGTCTGTAAAACCAAAAAAAAATGCAATCAGAAGCCCTGACTAATGCGCAGGAGTGAGGAACGTGTATCTTGGTGGAAGAACGCTTCAGTGCGCACACTAGCTTGCAAATTCGAGTATGGACCGGGTTCTTGCACCGGTTTTCGGGGGATATTGGACTCTGTAGACCCCTTCCAACGAGATTAAATGAATATATCGCTGAGAATCCATTCATAGGCATTGGCTTGTTGCAAAATGGGACACTGGGTAAAGCAACGAACACGCGCGCTCATCCCTTTTAGGCATCAGCGAATTTGGAAATGCCAAGCAATCCGGGTTGAAGTTTTAGGTTTCCTTAACTGTACACCGGACATAGCCACTTAAAAGCCTGTAATGCAACTCCTGTGCTTGAAACTTACGGAAAAGGAGAGTCGAACGAATACAATGTGGTGGACAGCATCACCTTGAAGCTACCTTCTGGGAATTCGCGCATGTTGCTCTTTGTTTTTTCGTGTTGTTCACTCTATGGCATCTGCCGTGGGAAAGAAAGGCAGTATTCCACAAGAAGTGCGGGATGAGCCATGCATATACGGGGGGGCGAAAAGGGAGTTTTCAGCACACTTTCAGCTGCTCGACTAACAAGTATTTGTATAAGCAGGGGATAAGCAATGGACAGCAAGTGGATATTGCCTTAGGTTGGCGTATTCGTGGAGCTTCCAAACCACAAGAATGAATAGCTCAGCTTTTCATTTGACGTGAAGTCAGCTCAGAAGAAGGACAGCCAAACGCAGATTCAACATGCCAAGCTAGCTGCTGTCATATACGAACGTCTGAAAGCAACAACTGCGGATTCTCCGCTTTCCTCTCTCTAAAGCGCCATGTCGAGTAGGAACTTCCGTTCACTACGAACGAATTGCACTTCTGGCCTGGAATGAACAAGGATAGGCAACCCCGTGGGATAAGAAGAACAAGAGAACAGGACAAGAATCCGCCTACGGAGGACGCTTGCGAATTTAATACAGATGGGTCACACGGCCGCAACTCTCCCAACAATATAATATCGACTGTCCACCGCACTCCTCTAGCAAGAAGGATGAACCGAATTGTAATGCGACTAAATGGTTCTCCTTGCCCATAGTTCTCCAAACTAGCATTTTCTGCGGAAGAGACGCTGCCTTCGAAAACGAATATACTTTAGAAATGCGGGCATTAGGTATTTTGTAGGAATATCTGAACAAACGCAAGAGGCTTGCAATGCATTCAACGGCGTTGCCTGCTCCTGCAAACTCTAGGCAAATAATTGAAAACTATTTAGCGTCAGCGGAAGCAGGGATAAGATTTTCAAAGGTGCATCGAAAAAAGGAAACATTTTGTCACATAACAGCCGCTGCAGAGGCATTTCTCTCTTACGTGAACGACATTTTTCTGCACCCTTGTTTTGCTACGCCTTCATTAGACCGTCAAAAGCAAAGTCCCAGTCTTTTTCCGAAGCAAATCACCCCCGTGAGCCACTCAACACAACCGTTACACAGGTGTTTTCCACAATTTAGGTAAACGCTCGGCGCACTGAGCATCTACCGAACTGCACGGAGATGTTGCGCTGTAGTGATGGCAGTAAAGAGAGAGCTCTTTGAGGGGATGTTATGTTTGGTGCAAACATTTGCAGAACGTCCATTTCCCCTGGTTGCACGTAATGCGCATCCTTTCCTTTTGTGCAACTTTCCTGCTGGATGGTTGACAAACATTATTGTTTCGGGATATTGTGACAATCAGTTTGCAGCAGGCGCTCGTGAGCGTATCAGCTAGTGGGGTGCTATGTTAGCCTATCCTGATCCTTTACATTAATTGAAATACACGCGCGCACGAACTGAAGCTGAAATACTCATCCTTATCTACAGGAGAAAGTCCATTTCTTGCAGCTCCAGTAGCTTAACAGCATAGCTTATACGCGTTGCAAGAAGAAGCTCTTCACGTCTTGCCTGAAGACAAGACGTGAAGAGCTTCTTCTTGCAACGCGTATGAGCAGTGCAGAGAAATTTTTGCCGGAAGAAGCTCCAGATCACCAATACTTTCTCCCTTTTTGCTTAGAAAGCATGTCTTACAGGTCAGGGGGCTGGCATGCGTTGTCCACCCGGCGGCAGTGCTTCTACATCGAAACTCTACCAGGAATATATCGCTTGCGGAAAAGCAAACCTAAGGCTGGCAGCGTTGTCTGAACTTTCTTTTAGGTGAGGATGTCGAAATATTGGAGAGCATCGCTCTTATTTTTGGCAACTGGAACCCATGCCTTCCCAGCGCCGCAAGTGTTAGAAATACAGTATGTGGCCCGCAACCTTAATTACTCTGAGGCCGGCATCTGAATTTGTACCACCTGATCCAAGCATAAAGCTGATATCTTAGGCTTGCTGTCATGTTCGGCAGCTCCAAACGCCGGACGCCTCCAAAGCCCCAAAGCCCCAGATCACTCAAGCATCTTAGAATTTTATATTCATATCACCACCATCAGATGTTTCACATTTAGCCGAGGAGTATTCTTTCTATGCAGTGCTGACACAGATCTACAGCAAGCTAGAGGTAGTGCATAGGGAACCGTCAAACTCCACCAAGGACGCCCATCACTTCACTGCAAACACTGATGAAAGTGGCTCATTTCGCTAAATCCCTTTAGAAGCATCAAAATAGGGAGGCTACTTGATTCAAGAGAGAAGCATCAGCCAGGCCAGGAAAGTGCTTTTAAAATAACCAAACGTGGGCACATTTGCACTTCCTGCATAAGTGACGGTACGCCAAAGGGTGGCGTTAGTTGCGTCAGCAGATGCAAATTCGCCAGAAAGTAGAGGTGGTATGCTTTCAGTTTAAGCGCAAAAACAATCCTCACCAGTGACTCTCGTTTAAAAAACCTCTTTGAAGGCGTCGCCTACTCTTCACCCACAAACTATATACCAGAGGGCTACTTGCCCACGTAGTACCTCTGCACCGATGCAGCCACTACCAATGAAAGAACTTAAAAGGCGGATACGTTAAGGAAGGCTAAAACTCTTTTCGTGAGTCTCCGCGAACGCTCTCTTCCGGGTCTGTCACAGCATAAGTTGAGGAACGGCCAGAGCGGTTCTGAAGAGGCAACAACTCCAGTAACAGCATTGAGTAACCTTCCGAAGCAAATCCCCTGAAGACTTGGCAGGGGAAGAACAGTCCCATTTTTTACTTTGAGGGGTGTCAACTGAATTCAAAGGAGATGTCAACTGCGCTGTACAGATTTAAATGGGAGTAATCGACGGTGTCGCGCTGGGAGCGAGAAGAAATCAGCTAGCGCCGGACTGAGCAGCCTCTTCTTTTTGTTTCGTATAGCTGTTCAGGGCTTTCCAGAAGTGCATTTTAGTTGCACTGTCTACTTTCCGAGGGTGGCAGGGCTCCGCTTATTAGGATGAATTGTGTGGATTCCATGCAGTAGGCGGAATACACGCTGAAACACCTTGCGAGTTGGGACGATCCCAGGAAGACGGCTGTACGGAGAAAGGCAAATATTTAAAGGGTTTTCTCTTTCCTTTTTACACAACCACGGAAATGGACCGCCAACAGCGCCACAGCTCTGTGGCCTCGACAAAGAGAGGCGCCCAGAGTGACTCCAAATTTGTTTCGTTTTGCACGTTCGTTGCACTACACCAGGTTACAGAGGTAGTAACGACAGTAGCAACAATCTATGCTTTATTCGGGAACGATCTGAAGCTATGGGCTACTTCAGTAACTGCCGACTTACCCTTCGATATAGTTGCTATCCTCTGCCTAGTAATCTTTACACTGGAAATATTTGTTAGCTGCGTTGGCAAGGAGAACTACACATGGCATACTTTTTTCTGGTTTGATCTGATCTCTACCGGAACTTTGATTCTAGATTTGTCATGGATTTACTATGAAATGTATCTAGTTGTCGAAGAAAATGCCGAAATGGCGTCGAGCGATGTAATGCAGGTGTCTCGAGCGGGAAAGGCAGGCTCGCAGGTAGCAAGGGTACTGAGGGTAATGAGGTTAGTCCGGCTGATCCGAGTTGCAAAGCTCTACAAAACGTTGGCATTGCGCTTTCAGCCTAAGGAGGAAGTTACATACCAACAAGACCTGTTTCTGGAGCCTGGAGAGCGGGCGCCTGACGACGTCGGGCTAGAAGAAGAGGCAGAGGTCGTGGATGATGGAGATGAATATGACAGCAAGATCGGCCGGGAACTCACAGACAGAACTACCAGGAAGGTGATATACATTATCCTCGTTATGACTATAGTGCTACCCTTTCTGTCTGAGGATCAATACCTTTCGAAGACGAGCTCCGAACAGTCCGGATTGGACAGCGTCGCAGAGTCTGCCACAGCGGCTAAGCGATACAATACAGCTCCTTGGTGGCGGATGTACTCCATGAATACCGTTTACTACATCAACTACCACCGAAAGCACGGCATTGGTTACGTGGAAGGAGAAATAAATCCCCAGAATTTGGTCTACATGGAACTTCCGCTCCCCTTAACTCACGTCACTGAGTCAGCTGGGCGTGTTTTCGTAGATATGGCATGCCTTGGCTTCAAGAGTTGCGATCATCCCCTGGAACTACCGCCACAAAGCGCAGAAGAGCTACTCCTTGCAAGCGCAGTCAACGGAACAATGCTGACCGATGAACTGGAATCAATAGATTCATTGAGACCCAGTGAACGGGAAATATTTTCTTCTGCATTTTGTGAAGGACCCTCCGAGGAAGTGGCCGGACCTCTGGAAACCCAGAAGGCCTCTTCATGTGTGTCTCAGAACATTTCAATTTTCAAGGCGGTGTATGACAAGCGCGAACTTTCGCATTTGGAGTGCGCCCTGAGTATGCTGAAAACCGTGTTCGTGTGCCTAATTATGGTTATTGGCACAGTGGCAATTAACCATGACATCAATACTCTGATTCTGAGGCCCATCGAAAGAATGATTACAAAGATGAACAAAATTAGAAATAATCCTCTTGCGGCCACCAACATGAACGCAGAAGGGGAGGACCGCCAAAGCGAAGAAAGCGCTGACGGAGCAAAAGGAGATCCCCTACAAGCAATAAAAACCTGGATGGGTGGTAAAAGCTCGAAGACGCAGAAGGAGAACTATGAAACTGCCATATTGGAAAAAACCATAATAAAGATTGGGGGTCTGCTAGCCCTTGGTTTTGGAGAGGCCGGTGCTGAAATCATTGCTAAGAACATGCATACTGCAGATGGAAACATCAACGCAATGATAGAAGGACGCAAGATGGAAGCTATTTTTGGCTTCTGTGATATCCGAAACTTCACAGATGCAACGGAGATCCTGAAAGAAAAAGTTATGGTGTTTGTGAATCAGATTGCGGAAATCGTCCACGGCACAGTGGACCAGTTCTCCGGGAGCGCGAACAAAAACATAGGAGATGCATTTCTTCTCGTATGGAAGTTTCCAGAGAGAGAGATCGCCGATGGAATAAAGGAACAAATTATTGACACAGTCACAAGCAACAAGCTAGCAGATATGGCAGTGATGTCTTTTGTCAAAGTCGTAGCTGGGATAAACAAGTCACACACTTTGGCTGAATACAGGGAAATACCTGAGATCATTGAGCGCATGGGAACTGGCTGGAAGGTGAAGATGGGCTTCGGTCTGCATGTTGGATGGGCCATCGAGGGAGCCATTGGATCGGAATACAAAATTGACGCTTCATATTTGTCTCCAAATGTGAACATGGCTTCCAGACTCGAAGCAGCAACCAAGCAGTATGGAGTGACGATCCTCATATCATCCGACCTGTACGATATTATGTCTCCACAGACGCAGACATACTGCCGCCAAATTGACCGAGCGACAGTAAAGGGCTCTAAGGTGCCTCTAGGCCTTTATACGGTTGATTTGGACCCCGGCAGACTGCAGGTCCCATCAAGGGCTCCTGTCACCGTTGCCTCTAAACACACGGCCTCCCTTCAAAGACAGCAGCGCCTTCGCGATAAAAACAGGCTTTGGTCCAGTCGTACGTCGATTTCTGCAATGTTTGAGACTGATCCTGACATTGTATCTATGCGTGAACACTTGACCAAAGAATTTCTTGGGACGTTTCGATCAGGATTCAGGCATTATGAAGCCGGCGAGTGGTATACCGCTCGAGAAATATTTGTGCGCACGCAGTACATGCTCGGCGTAGAGGACGGCCCTTCTACGGTTCTGCTTCACTTCATGAGCACAAAAAACTACGTTGCCCCGGAAGACTGGGGTGGGTTTCGTGAGCTCATAGAGAAGTAGAGCAGGGCGCTCCGCTTGTCTCCATTTTGGTAGCTGTCGACTGACACTTTAAGTTTTGGTACTTGATCTACTGGAATCGTCTGCCTAAAGTTTGTTCTATTTAGCGTTGCTGGGAGTTTCCACTCCATCTAAGGAGTCGCCTACTGAGTAGCTAAACGGTTGGCCGGCAAGCTGCGCTTGTCTTCACATTGCCAGTATTTCACCTGCCCGTAGACTCTCGCCATCCGATCTAATGGTTTCAGCGTTCCAACCGTTGTACTACAAAAGAGAGTTGCTGAGAAGTGTGCTTTCTCGAGTGCTTGACACTGCGTAGTTTTTCACCGGCACGACTAGGCGAAGCATTTGCCGAAGGAAAAGATTGCAGTGGCACTACTGATTTGTGAGCGTGCCTACGCTCATGAATTTGTGAGTCAATTGGCGAACGTTTGAGCGAAGGTGAGCCATCGCCAGCCATATGCTCCTGCTACACCAGAAGACCAAGCGTTTCCCTTTCTGGGTCATCCGTGAGCTCCTGTCAGCGGATAGTACCCTGCAGCTAACTACAAGTACAAACAGCCAGATATCGCAACATTTATGTGTTTCAAAGCGTCTATTTACGTGGTGAATAGGAGTAGAGAATGCAGTTTGCCTTTCTGGGTTCCTCAACGGCAAACTTTGTTCATCTGGGAACTGCAGCATGATGAAGAGGGAGAGAGACATCAGGCATTCGCCGCAGCTAATCCTCGTGACGTCTCTCTGCCAAGACAGTTAAACACAGACAAAGAGTTTAATGATTGCTTTAAGCTGCATCAGCAGAACTTCAGCCGCTCGTAACCACTATTTTGGGCAGTTTAGGCGGCAGATTGTTGCCAAGTCTGGCTCATTTTCCACTCTTACGTAGGGCGTGGCGTCCATAAACGGCCAGACTTGCGCTGCCTCGCAGTAAGCAGCATCGTACCAGATTATTTTGGAACTTGAGTAAATTGAAGGCTGTGGAAAATTAGTTGACCGCGAAGGAGAATGTGCACTGCTAGCTCAAGGAGTGGAACCACCCTTAATCCACTATATCTTTAGTACATACTCGCTACAATCACGGCAACAATGCCGTGCTCGTTATGAAATGAATGAGGGTTCTATGAACACTGGAAGTGTCTGTGAGTGCTTATTGAGGTACATTGAGTATACCATTGGTGAATGAATTAAA